GGTGGGAGTTGGCCCTCTCTCGCAGCAGGATGAAACAAATTTCTCTCAAACCCCCCCTTACCTGTGTGCAGGATGAGTGGGAGCACAGCAGTAACGGCAGCTCAGGTTCCAGGCCCAGTTCTGGGTCCAGACCTGGTTCTGGCTCCCGATCTGGCAGTAGGGGTCGGAACAACCAGTTCAGAGGCTCCGCCAAGGTGCCAGCTCAAATGATACCTCATGTCTGTGTTTTTCAAGCCACATTATACAATGTCTCACATGCTGCTGATGAGTCTTGTTCATATGTTTTTCCTTTTCTGTTGATTGCGTTGTTGTAGAATGGAAACAAAGATGTCTCCTTTGACATCCTCGGCACAGACATATGGGCGGCCAACACAATGGACTCGCGCGGGTATGTTGTTTGCTCCTGATCCTCAGGGAGGACGTGAGAGGGTGTATATGTACTGTATATCTTTTTCACATAATGTGATGTTTTTCTGTGGGTTGCAGGGGTACAGGTTGGGATGTGCAGCCAGAGAAGCTCGACTTCAGTCACCTCCACAGGAAACACACGCGAGTAATGCCAAAGCACCTGCCGCACATCGACCGAGAGGGGTATGATATGCCTTTTGTGCTCAAGATGTGGCCGATTATGATACATATTGCCATTTGCTCCTTGATGCCTTTCCCTGATGTTTACCAATTCTTTTTTTTTCTGTTTCAGAATGAGCAAAAACAAGTTTGAGGAAGATGATGGCGTATACTTAAATGACATAGAGAAGTTTCTGCCCCATCTGTGCTCTGTGAGTTACACACCCTTTTTTTTGTTAGAAGATATATAAACATTACTTTCATAACACTGCATACAGCGGTTCACAGGCAGGAAACCTTGACATGTTTCTTGACACTATCTTCTGGCTCTCTATTGAGGTGGGGGGAGAAATACATCTCCAGTTGAAAAGAGGCTGACTATAAACAAACCTGTGGCGACACCTGGTGGCTCCTCGCTTAACTGCGGTGTACAGCGCTCCAAATTGCACCACTGCCTCCTGGTGGTGTAATGTGTGTACAACACTAACGGAGCTCTATTTTTGAACGACATACTTGTGACATGACTTCATTCATTTCAATACCCCAAAAACAAATTGTTATGGAAGTGAATTTCTGTAGGTTGGCAGCTCCGCATTGACTTGGTTATTTAATTTCACACTTGATGGGTGGGCAGGCCAACCCCTCTCCATAATATGTCCCTTTTAAATAAACATGGAAGCTGTTGGGGAAAAAAAAAAAACCTAAAGACCCCCCCAAACCCCGGGCCTTTTCCTTGGCATTTTGACCATTTTTCATTTTCTTCAAATTAATTCTCTAAATGAATCCTCCATAAGTCCTCCATTCCAAATTGTATTTGGAATTATGTCGCCGGTAGTTTATAGAACCAAACCACACATATCATGAGCTAAGCCAGAGCAACTGAGTTTGTCGTGCCAGCCCCTTTGACCATGTTGTGTATTCCTGTCAGTGATTTTAAAGATGTCTTCCTGAAGATAGTGTCAGAAAAAACAAAACAAAACCCAAACAACCTTTAAAACTGCTTTTGCAGATGTGTTCATCTTACACCTCGCATTGTGTTTTCCAAAGGTGATTTGTGTTTGGCTGCGGTGTCAGGCGCTAGCCTCCGTTCACAAATGTCACCCTCTCTTCCTTCCCTTCTGTCCGAGCCAAAACGTCTTCTACTCGCTCCCCTTTCCCCCTTTCCTTCCCCTCCTGACCTCTGTGCCATCGGTACCTTGATGCGCCGTGGCGGCGTTTTGAGCCAAGATTGGACTGCTTGCACTGTTAAGGACAACTTCCTCATTGTATAGATCACGAGCCAAGAGCACCGTTTCCAGTTATTCATGTAGGAATGACATGAAGGGCTGGGCTTAACCTCACGTGTGCCGAGGATCGGGTGTGCCAACATTAGACCCTGGGAGTCGATGTCGTCTAAAGTATACTCTTCGCTACCACCCATGCATCAAAACGGTTTCATACTAAAAGTTACGCAAGATACACAATTTACCCCATCCGTTATCGTCATTAAATCAAAATTCTCATTATGTGCTCTGACACAATGTTACCCGGAGAGGTAGCGTGCCAACATTAGACCCTGGGAGTCGATGTTGTCTATAGTATACTTTTCGCCACTACCCATGAATCAAAACGGTTTTATACTAAAAGTTACGCAAGATTTACCCCATCCGTTATTGTCATTAAATCAAAATTCTCGTTATGTGCTCTGACACAATGTTACCCGGAGAGGTAGAACAATCAACCGATCGATCGACAACTAATCAATTGATCAAATCAATTAACAGCTACCGTAGGTAGCCTGAAGGAATTGAGCATTGTTGTTGTACGTCTCTGTCGGAGATTACGATGTCCTGAAAGAATGAAAGGCAGCAGAAAGGGAAGGTTAGGTGAGAGCAGTCACTGAGGACATATCCGCTCGCTGGCCAGGGAACAAAGCGGCATCCCGGAGGCGAGACGTGTCGCAGACTGGCCGGCCCCTGTGCCTGGACGCGTACGTGCAGCCGAGCAGGACTTGAGCCGGGAAATGGACCTCGGGAGGGGGGGCGAGGGGAGGCCGCTTGGCCCGGACTCTTTGCAGCAGGGTGTCTGCCAGCTGTCAACTGCGTTGCACTCACACACAGCCTTTACCTGAGACGCTTTCTTTCATGTTCCTCCTCCTACCCGCCAATCTGACTTCATCTCCGATCGCTCTTGATATTTGACATCTCCTCCGACTCCGTGTCTCTCATCCTCCCTCCCTGCGCTCCACTTGACGTCCTTCGCGGTTCCCCACATCCTTCAAATGTTGGTGGGCAGTGGAACAACATACAGGGAGGGGTGGGGGGGTCACGGTGACCGGTAGCCCCCCCAACCCTGTGGTTTCCTCCTGCCC